TTCAGCATCTCTTGAAGGGCAATGTTTGAACTGCACTAGCACAAGCCATAGGTTTTGGCTGCACAAACTGTGTGGGCGCCACCAAGCACGTCCGCTATTTCAGGTGCAGCAGCGCAAAGTGCAGGAGGGCTATGCTGAATCATTGGTCTCCTTGGTCTTCCTGCTCTAAAACAGCTGTGACTATTATAGTGATGCACACAGCAGCAGCTTAACAAATGGCAAGAGCCTCCTCTGGGAAGTTCTGTTGTTGTCTGGATGGTGCAAAGCAACACAACCTGAACACACAATATCGCATATCTGCAGCCAGAGGAATGTGGTTTGAGTTGTTAGGTTTAAACCTGGTGCCTTTAAAATTGGCAATGAAATAGTAAATAAAAACGTATTTCTTAGTGAGAATTAACTACATTCCTTCTTTTTTTTTTATTTACCAGTTTTAATACCTCTAAATTATCCTTCATGAATTGCAAATAGAGCACACAGTGCTGCACACTACTACACACAGTACACAAACCTTTACTACTATAGCCCTATTTTTGAGCAAAAACACACAAAAAATTAATTTCAGGAGCCCAAAATGTTAAATGTATAAATAAGACCTTGCCCAAAGGTCGAAGCCATATTTATATTCAGACACAAATAAATAACAGAGCAGAAATTATGGCCGCATATTTGCGGGGACATATCAATACAGAACACAGTTTGATTTTAGAAAGCTTACTGGTTTCTTCTTGCATTAAGACCCTGCTAACATCCCAAAGTAAGATCCAATATTTCCTTTTTGTGACTTGATCACAATATCCATCAACATGTTTCAAGCCCTGGTTCACTGCGGTCAAAACAATGTTTGCCATGGCAAGTCTCCTGTGCAAACTACGTTTAAAATCAATTTAAACATTAAAACAATTCTAAAATGTTTAATTAGTAAGTTCAGAAAAATACTTTTTAGAATAAAAGGATATCAAATATATAGAACGAATGAAAACTTGGACTGAGTTTCCCTTCCTGGATTTAAACCTTTCAATTCAAATTCAGTGTTCTTTAAAATGAGTCTTTACACTTGAACCAGGTCTGCAAAACTGTTTAGATTAATTAGCTACAGGTGTTAGAACTATAAACCGAAGGCTCCGCTTTCCTGGTCCAACATACAAGCCAGTTTTCAGTACCTTTTCTCATCTAAAGCCTTTTAACAAGCTCATTCCGAGTTTGTTTTAACCTAACATTAGCCTTACATTAGATGACGACAGCATATAATGCCACAAGCTTTAGTTATATTGGTCAAGCACACTTAATCTTATTGAAACAACATAAAATAATCATACACAGGTGTACTTACCTTTTGTGGGTCTTAACATGGGCGTAGCGAGTTGGTAAAGTCTTTATCAGCTATAACATTGGACATAAATAAATCTACTCTCCGGCAGCTTTGACATGCGTCACTTGGCGAACTCCTCTGCGTCACGTCCGTCACCTTCACAGTCCGTGTCTTCACACCAACGCCTCACCTTTCTAATTGAATTTACAGAAAGATAACAACTAATGCAAATACATAAACGTCAACACAGACACCATTATACCCTGTGGTGGAAGGTAGTCAGCTAATATACACATGCAAACAAACATTTTGTATTTCAGTTAATTCTATTAACACGAGGACACTGATTTCTAGACGAAACACACTTAGGCCACGCCCACACCTGTGGGGACTGGGGTGCAGTCCTTCTTTTGCTAAAATAGCATTTTAAATGCAGCAATGACACACCATTCACTATCCCTGAGTACATCAAAACAGACCTAACGTATTCTAGGCTGTAGAGAATAAAGCAAACACTAAATACTTAGCAGTTTGACAACAGGCCTATACTGAATCTGCTTAGAGTGAGCTGCTGTGACTGGCCCCACTGGCTTGTTAGGCAGCTTCATCAGAGAGCCAGGCCCACTCAGTTGTCCAGCTACTGTTCACAACTGAGTTCTGTAGTACAAAGACCTCAAAAATGTACTTAGTTACATTACACCACTGTCAAGGTGTAAGCACTGAAAGGAATTTGAGTGCCAACGCACGTACAAACACTCAGAGGAGACAATAAGTGGAAGCAGTTGTCTGTTTTAGTTTCATGTTCTGTTCTTCTAGTTTTACCTTTTCTAATCAGCATCTTTCAGCATTAAAGTCAGCTTTGTGTTTTACATCAGTTTGTTTTTGGTGTATCACAGGCCTGCACAAAGTGTGAACAAGCTTTTTGTTTGTAAATCAATGAAAGCAATTTTAGACTAATAAACAGGAACATCAGCGTCATTTTATTGACTTCACAATTTACCCAAAGATTAAAATAACAGTGGTTTGAGATGACAATATAATGTTTTGTCTATGGAATATAATACATAAGATGTAAAGAATCAATCTCAAGTTTAAGCTGCTGTCTGTCTTCAGAATTATTGCTATTAAAAGTGTACAGTTTTCATAAAAACATCAAAAAAATGCTGGTTTTGAACTCTGTGTACCTCAGTTTTGTTTTGGCGTTTTCATTATTAATAGCTAAAGATCCTTATCTTTGTTCTGGTTGTTTTCCTCGTTAGGCTCTTTGTTTATCCAGCTAATCAGCATTAAAGTGACCATTTAACATATTGTTAGACTTTTTTTACATAAATAATGCGCATCCCTGATGATGTACTCATTGGCTCTGCAGCCCTGTCCACTGCATCCATAGCTTGCTGTTTGTTTTGTTTCTCAAATGCTTGGCGCACACACACACACAAATACAGTCACTGGGAGTAGCAACAGCCAAATCTAAAAAGCTCAATTGTTTTTTCACCTCCTGATCTGTCTTTACTCTCTCAATCCTTTTCCCAGAAAGAGGGAGGTTGCCTTTTCCTCTCCAGTCCAGCTGAGGGACTGCTAACCGCAACATGGTGAGACCAAGACAATTAGCCAGACGCACACAACGCAAGCAAACAAGCTTCAGACGGTCCATAAAACATCATGTTTCGGTAGGCAAGAGGAAACACACTTATACACACTGAAACGTACACAAAGAGAGACAAATGCTAGTGTCTAGCTTCTGCTTTGCAAACCTGTGGCTCAGCACAGGACTGAACCCAAAATAGAAAGAGAGGTGGAGACAGAACAAGAGAGATAAGGAGACAAGCTGCAGACACCGGGTGCTGAATGAAAATACTGATTGTGCATTGATACTGAATTGCGCATTAGCTCAGAACAGAACAAGTAGGCTATCATGCAACAATAGTTAGCTGTATGCATATATAACCCCTAGACCTTATTTCAAGCTTGCCCAATATCAATTTTAATGATAAATATTCTACAGCTGGCAGCAGTTAAACTTCAGTTTGAGAGAAACCCCACCATAGCAGCTTCATCAATTTGCTGCCAAAATCCCTCCAAGTATTTATTTATAAGTATTTATGTACTTAGAGCTACAGATCTTTAAAGATGAAGAGGTAATATATCTAGCTTGCTAGGATCATTTAACTTAAAACCAATGTAGGCCTTTTTAATCAGTGTAAATCAACTCACAACTTGAACAGCTGCAGCTGTTCTCATCCATGCTTGTCCCTATCTTTGTGGCAGTTTTTTCTGACCGGTTGATCGTTTCTTCCGCCACAAATGGCCGTCAGTGGGCACAACACCAGAACTATTTGAATCTTTGAACAAATTGGACAAGTGGCTTGTGGTTCTGGGACCATGCTGTGATGCAGTGAGCTTGAAGGGGAATTTATCCAGAGCCAGAAAGCCTCATGACTCTGCATGCAGTTTGCAGTCTGAATGGCAGTGACTGCTTACCCTTACCGAATTCATGAATATCTATGGCACCAAATAGCTGTGTTAAGCTTCAAACTGAAACTTAAGAGAGGCATTCGTGGCTTTGTGGGACTGTGGATAACATGGACAAACAAAAAATTTCCCTAAAACCAAGCCTTTATTCTCCAGCCCACTCAGTCTTGCACAGCAGCTGCAACTCAAAAGTGAGAACGAAAGACTGTAAAGCCACCATCTCTCAGCCAGCTCCTTCTGATTGTGTAACACCAACAGTGTGAAAGCCCATTTCCCAGCTCTCCACTGATCAATAACTCATACTCAGTTTGGCAGCTCTAGCCAAATGGACCCCATCTCCACCAGCACACTACAGATCAGTTAGTTATTGGGATCTGTGACTCAGAGTGAACTAGGGGTACAGAATGCAGACACACACACACACACACACACACACACACACACACACACACACGCACACACACACAATGCACTGAAACACTTTAATTGATCAAGTGGGTAACAGATGAAGAATAGGCTCAGAAGTCTTCAGGTGCAGCAGTGGAGTGCAAGATGATGACCACTAAACCGAACTGGCAAGGATCCATATATTGGATCTGTGTGTGTGTGTGTTTTAACAACTGAAAGTTTATGACTGGGGTAGAGACATTCTCAGAGCCAGGAAAACTACCTTTCCTCTTGCCAGCTGTAATAATCCTTTTTTATAACCAATCTCTTTCTGTTTTTGTTTCTAGTAGTAGTAGGTAAATAAGAAGACATAACCATGTTTACTAAACCAGTGCCATCAAGGTCCTCTTTAATGATACACTACTGAGATTAAAAATTCAAATAATACCCTTTAAATAATAATAATTCCTTAAAAAGCCTCCAGTTAATCCAAAATGCTGCAGCCAGAGTACTGACAGGAACTAGCAAGAGAGATCATATCTCTCCCATATTAGCTTCTCTCCACTGGCTCCCTGTAAAATTCAGAATAGAATTTAAGAAGTAGAATGGGAGGCAGAGCCTTTAGCTATCAAGCTCCTCTCCTATGGAACCAACTCCCAGTCTCAGTTCGGGAGGCGGACACCTTCTCTACCTTTAAGATTAGACTTAAGATGTTCCTTTTTGATAAAACTTATAGTTAGGGCTGGATCAGGTGACCCTGAGCCTTCCCTTAGTTATGCTGCTATAGGCCTAGGCTGCTGGGGGGCCCCATGATGCTCTGAGCTCCTCTCCATGCATTTATATGCCACCATTACATGTCACTGACTGTGTCCTTTCTCTCTCCCTGTACCTTTCTACAGGTAGTCACCAGCCACATCAACCTGCCCAGTGTTTGATTGTTTGTTGTGTCTTGTTGCTTTTCTGTTCTTTTCTCTCGCCCCTATTCACTCACCCCAACTGGTCGAGGCAGAAGGTCACCTACTAAGAGCCGGGGTTTGTCACAGGTTTCTTCCATCAAAGGGAGATTTTTCCTCCCCACTGTCACCAAGTGCTGCTCAACAGGGATTTGTGGGGTTTTCCTCAACAGCAGTAATAACAGAGTGTAGACCTGAGATGACTTTTGCTGTAATTTGGTGCTATACAAATAAAACTAAATTGAACTGAATTGAATTCAAATCCATTGAAAACAGCCAGCCAGGCCCATACGTTGTTTTGTATTTTAATTTGTACATACTAGTATTTTCAGCAGAACTGCTGCTTTTGCAAAAAAAAAAACATTTATTTAAACTGACAAGAGGTGAGAGGAAATTACAAGACAGTATTTTGCTTCTGCAGTTCAGTAGTCATAAAGTGAGAAATCCATCATCCAGAGGAGGATCTATCAATTTCTGAACAGCCAGCAGCTTCGAGTGACCATGATGCAATGCTTCATCAGGATGCTATTGATTCAACTGGAAAAGTTGCTCCACTGTGGCCAGTTAAGATGTAAAATCCACAGATGAATGAATGAGCGAATCTCTTCAGTTCCAAATTTACTGCTGGAGGCCATTTGGGAAAATCTATGAAATCACTATAATGGAAATAAATGTAACATGGTACTTGGCATGTCTACTCTCTGGATATGTGGTCATCGAGTTTCCAAAGGTATGGCGTGCCATCGTCAGAGGTCAAACTTCTGAGCTCAAACTCAAACTGGCCCAGTTCCATCTGAGGACACAAAATCAATTTCCACACATTCACCCCCTCTTGCAGGCTGTCACTTAGCCCAATGGGTCTCTGTAGACTGAGGCAACAAAGGGACGATTTGTGGAATCAGAGCTGTCATCTGCTCATCGTATTGATCGGGACAAATCTCTAGAAACCAAATGCTGCACCCGTGATCATCATCAGAGGATTTTGAAGGAAAGTCTCAGCTTGACTACTGGTCGTACTTTTTGTGACCAAAGTTTCTGGACAAGCTAGTGCCTGAATATTACTGGTAACGTGAAGATGAAGAAATGAAAAAGAATGGTATGAGACGATGAAAGCTGTTTAAAATAAGTGTCTTCAGGTTGTTTTCTTTCCCTTTGATTTGTTCCCAAGATGTCTAAGATTTTGCTTTCAGCAATAAAGGAACGTCTGTTGTTGGATAATTGGATGCACCTTGTCGTCTCACTCCTGCTCATTCTGTGCTCCTCTAAAGTGACAAGGACAAAAGAAGTCTTCAACAGCCAGAGTGAGGCCACTTTACTGCTGATTGCATGGAAGCTCACATGCAGCCCAGTTTGACTCAAAAGACAGCCTTCAGCAATCATTTAGCTTTTTTTTTTTGGCAACTAATGGAACTGCTTCTCTGAGATGTATCGTATCAACCCTAACCTTTCAGCTACAAGTAGATGGATGTACGAACAGACAAATGTTTAATCACAGCATAGAGAAACTCATTTGTAAAGCATACACATTAAATACAAGGCAACTCCAAGTTATGCTCCACATAAAATATGAAAAGGAACTTATGACTTGGCAGAAAATTCACAACAAGAATTATACAGCTAGTGTTATATGAACTATTGTCCAAGTCAGGAGTGACTGACCCTGAGGCGAAACTAAATCCATCTTCAGCATTTAATCTTGACCTATAGCACAACAGAGTGCACACCAATGTGCTGCTGAAACACAGATGCTCAACTTCACTATGAATTTTAACAGAATTTTTAATACTGGGGGCTACTCACTGCATTATATTACACTATACCTCAAGTGGGTGATTGTTCCATTAAAAACTATGGTTTCAAATCCCCAAACTCAAATGCACAGGTTTATACCGGGTTGCACTATCAGCAGCTGCAACTAGTATTCCTACAAGGCCTGGACTGAACGATAATTCTTTTGTCCAGTGAGAGTATCAACAGAATAACTGCATGATCAAGTGTCAAACTTTTCAATTTGAGTTTTGGAAAGTCCCAAGAAGCCCCTGTAGAAAAGTATCTGAGCCTGGAGGTACATCCTAAATGTCAGTGGCACATGGAGAAACATTGAGCACTACTGACCTCTAGTGGCCAAACAAGGTTTAAAATAATGCCTTTACCAAAACCAACCTCCAGTTTGTTAAAACATTTAGCACAAAATTTCTACCACTCCCAAACAAACAAAAAAGTCCCTTTAGAAAACACATTAAAATCTGTCTTTATTTTAAGAGCAAGGCACCCTTTTTTAAAAATAGCACAGCATTATGTGGTCATTTTTATAACAATATTAACATGATAAAAACAGCAAAATGTATGACAACAGGTATACCTGCTAACTTCAGCAACATGAACATGTGTGAGCCAGTGGGAATTCACCAGGAAAAGTAAGCATGTGCCAACTTTTCCATTATATCATTATTTTAGCATTTTTAAAGTCTGCACAACATTCGTGCACACAGGGGGCTCATGCATTACTAATGATCTAATTTAACACTGAAGAAAATTAATTACAAACACAATGCGCTGGCAAACCGCCCACATTAAACTATTTTCCAACAGAAACATAACATTTATTTAAAACATTATATAAAAGACTAGATTACAGTGTGTAAATATTAAACATATTAACAAATTATATACAGGTTTGGTCTGAGTAAAAAAAAATCAAATATTTTCACTCAATTCAAACTGGTAATTTTTTTTTTCTCCCCAGGAGAGCAACTTCTCACTGAGATAAAGCCTTTTCCAGAATGCCCATGTCGACCAGTGGCAAGGATGCAACTTCAAAAAACACCCTGAAACAGAAAGAATCAACTGTTTAGAACACTATAAAATATTAATACGCTTGTATAGTAATATATAACAAGAACATCATTGTAAATGATGGCTTTAGACCTACTTGTGTGAGTATTTGCTCTTGATGGCCTTCAGTTTCCCATCAGGAGGTGCTAAAAGCATAAAGTAGAGCTTTCTGGCCACAGGCGCCAAATCAGACATCTGGTAGCCGGAGTGGAACTGCAGGATGGGAGACTAAAGGACAAGAGAAACAGTGAAGTCTCCACAGTTGTTCATGCAAAAATGTTATAAAGATAGAAAACACATTCACTACTGGTCATTCATTACTTCGTCTGCTTTTTCGGAGTCAACCCAGGAACAAAAATAAAGTTACCCAGCATCCCTAGTACTACTGCTGCAATCCTAACTCAAATTTACACGGTGTTGGATTCACACTGTCCACCACGACCAGCAGTAGTGACTGAATTGGAACCACTGGCTGTGCCCAAAACAAACAACTGTTGGCAGCCTTGCAGTCAAAAAGAACCAGCGATGGTGTGGAAGTGCCTCAGGTTTTGTTCCTACCACAGTAAAATAACTTAAATTACTTATGACTTTACAGAAACATTATTGTGGTGGTGTCTGAACCACTGTTTAGAGGTTAAGGCCAACACGTTGTTAAACAAAAACCCTTCTTCGATCATGTTGAAGGAGAAACAGACGAACTGAGGGCTGGTATTTGAGTTTACTGTGAAGTGAACCTACCCATCCTCCAAGGTCTTTGGTGACCAGCGCCATCAGCAGGCAGGCTGAGGCCAACAGAGACCCTCTCTCTGTCACCAGCTCCATCTCCATCAGGCTCATCTCGCAGAAATACCGAGCCAGGGTCAGCGTGTCCATGCCTGCACTTGCACACTGCAGAAAGAGCAAAGCAAATACTTATGGGAAGCGCACACACCGAGATGCTAGAGTCAAAGTCCTAGCAAAAGACTCTCATGCAAGGAAATCTCTGAACATATACAAACACACACCTTGGCGTAGCGTCTGAGAAACCGATAAGGTATGGGGATGTTAATGTCGAAGGACAGTGTCTGCAGGATGCTGGCCTCCATGGAGATTAGCTCCTCCCTCTTGTACGCATCATCACAGATATACAAGAAGTCCTCGACACATGGTGGGCTGCGCTCCTGCAGGATCATTCAGAATCAGTCATTAACCAGAGTTTATTTAGGGTGTAATCCTTCCTCCTTTACTTGGGATTTTCAAGTCCTCCGATTAATTCAGTAAGCATGGCCAGTGTTAGCGATGTATGTATTGCATACATTTGAGTCAGAGATAATCACCCATGAGCTTTCACATTTGAAAAATGCCAAATGTTTTAAATCCACACCATTGTTTCACTAACCCAAACTACTTTTGTCATTTTATAACTATGTAATGTGCAAACAAGCTGCCCCTTCACCCCCCATTGCATTATCTGAAATGTTAACTGGATCCTGCTCTTACCTCAAATTTAGAGGCTATGAGCATGGCAGTGGAGCCGACAAGCTGCAGCATGTCCCTGTGGATGGGAGTGCAGGACAGGTAGTGGTCTGTCATCTTTACAGCCAGGTAGAGTGTCTCATGGTACAGCTCAAAGTTCTCCTAAAGAGACACAAACAGCGTCAGTCAGACACACTGGCACAAATTCAGAGTTCAGGTCTGAGCTCTGTATGACACATACTTCAGGAAGAAAGTCTCAAAGGAACAGCAGCACACACGCTCAGCTGTAACTCTGATTCAAACTACTGAAGCCAAACCCCCAGAGTTTTAATTAGCAGTGTCATTTCTTTACATTTACAAATGGATTACTTATGCTTAGCACCACTGACTTCTTTTATAACAAATTCACCAGGAGAACTCACCTGCACTTCGACCAACCAGTCGATCAGGATCGCCCTCATCTCCTGGTTGAGGCTGGGCTGCATGGCCATGTAGTTACAGAGGACAAACTTCTCCTGTAGGCAGTAAAACAGAGAGCAGAGGAAAAATAAATTAGTCAGGATCCCAGTTCAAACTTCTTTTGGAATTTGGTACCCGTGTTTTGGTTTGGCTCACCTCTCTCTGTTTGAGGTAGTCGAAGATATCCTTTGCGTACTCTGGGCACATGTAAATGTCCTCACAGTTCTCAGAGTCTATGTCAAACTCCCCTGGGATCTGAAAAAGTAAGGAGGTACTCAGCGTCATTCATCATGTCGCAGGGCTGACACTGGATGGGATGCAGAGTACACCCTGGACAAGCTGTCAGTCTATCACAGGGCTGACACACAGAGACAGACAACACTCGTATTCATATCTATGAGTAATTTAGAGTTGCTAGCTAACCTGACCTACAAATCAGTGGGAGGAAGCCGGAGTACATGAAGAAAACCCACACGGGTATGAAGAGAACATGCAAACGCCATATAAGGGTCAAACTTAGAACCTTCTCATCATGCTGCCTCCGTGTTCCAGAACTATTTATCCAAGTCAGAAGCTTCTTTGGAAATCTATCATTTCCCCTACCTGCTGTCTCTGGAGATGTGCTGGCACTTCTTGGGCAGCAGGGGGCACAGCAGCTGCCGGCTCTTCTACTGGAGCTGCTGCATCTTCCTGTGGCGCATCCTCGCGGAGGTTCTCCTCCGCCGTACCAGACTGTTCTTTCTCAGCAGTTGTTCCTCCTGAGCTCACCAATGAAGAGCTGCAGAGGGAGAGATTGGAATTCCATTTAAAATCAACACCTGTTTGATACCTAGTGGAGAAAGAGCAAGAAATAAAATCAAGAAAAAGTACTTTTTAAAATAAAAATTTAAAAAAGTACTTTGCCAAGTTGGCCTGATTCTTGGCTGACACAGAGGTAGAGCATGTTTTCTTCGCCGTCTTCTTCACAGGGCCTTTCTTCCTCCCTGGAATGTTGATATGCAGGCTATGAGCCTGTGAACAAAGTCAAGATGGGTCAAAACAACACAAAACACAACAAGTGTAGGAAGCCAAACTGCCTCCGACTACACAGTAGCCTCTCAGAGCTCCCTTGGTTTCACAGCAGGAGCGAGAACAAACCGACAAAATGCTCGTATCACACCCAGGTGAGGTGCACACATTCACACCACAGCACAGGAACTGTGAGCCCAGTTACACTTTCACAACAAGCTCAGAGATGCTGTGTGTCACTCACCCATAAGCGCACACACATTCCAGCTTAAGCTTGATTTATGGTTCGGCTTTAAATCCGCATAGAGCCTAAACCATAAGCTACGCATGATGTACACCATACCTATGGTGTAGATGCAACACAGAACCATAAATCAAGTTGTACGTCATTTATTTTGTGAGCATTATTTCTTATAAAGAACTGAAATTTTAAGTTGTGTTAGTTTGAAACCTGGTGACACTTAACTTGTACAGTGGCCAGCAGGGACATATTTTCAAAATCTACAGTTAATCAGAATGTCCATTAAGGTCAAATTAGTGTTAGCCAATGGATTCATGCACAAACACAATTTCTGTATACTGGACGTTTTTAGATCCGTCTGAGGGTGGAAGCAGTCCAAATTCTTCAGCTGTCGTCACCTAGGTTGGTGGAGGTCAAATTATGCAAAAGCTGTGATAATATGACCATGGCATTACACATGTAGTCCAGATACGTCCAATTCAGACCTGGTTTAACACCACATCTCTCACTGCCACCAAAGTGTTGGCTGCATTCAGCATCCCACTTACTTTGTTGAGGCTGTCATCACTGTCAGGACGACAGTCTGACAGACACTGACCGACAGCCTGTCATCAAGATGGAACAGCAGTTAAGACAAAATAACACACCATGGGAAATGATCCCGAACTCAGAAGTCTCATTCTGCATTCAAATAGCAGCCACTTAAATAAAACCTGACAATAACACTAAACGTAATGTTTCACAGAAAGACACTCGTATTAGACATTGCAGACAACACAGCTCCAGTTTTCCATCTGCCTCAAGTTCTGACTCTCCAGTGAAGAGCAGTGCAGCTTTACAAATCACAGCCTGTAGTTAAAGCAGGACTTACATTAGTGATGTCGATAAAAGCAGTCCTCTTCTTGGGAGCTCCGTGAGGAGGGGAGGACGACCTCTTCACCTGCGAGCCTTCCTCCTGCTGCACACACACAAACCGGAAACACCGCGGTATTACCGAGCTGTGCACATTACTTTATAAAACACAAGAAAAAATGAGGTTGTCTCCGTGTCTGGAGATAAATTCTGAAGCTCTGCTGCAGTGTGCTTTGTTTACAACCTGGTCACTGCTTACAAGCTGCATGGTTCTTTTACCTGCTTTTCACTTGTGGTTGCTGTTAGCTTGGGGATCTTGCTCCCTGCGGAGACGGTGGGTTTCTTTCTCCTCGGTAAAGGCATGGCTGGGTCCTTTATCCTCTAAAAGCAAGTGTTCCGGCGGCTGTAGTGCTCTGCTTCACAAGCAAAAATAGAAAGGAAACCCCGGGTCGGTTTTATAAACAATGCAGGGCGCTTCGATGCTAAGCAGTTTTAGCTAACTAAGATGCTGATTACATTGAGTATACAATGGGTCACACCATGCATTTCTTGGGAGGATTTCCACACGTGAACCGGGCTTAAAATTGCTCAAATTAATGTTTTACTTTACCTTATTCTCTAACTCGTGCTCGTCTGATCCAGTCGCTTGGTTTAAGGACGACAAACACCACATGTAACTTGTTTAAATGGTTTTAAAAAATACCCTACATTTGGGGGTTGCTTCCTAGACGAGAGCTAAAACAACAGTGTTTCACTGCGAATCCAAATCTGCTGCGCCTCGCTCTGATTGGCTGGAATTTAAGCAGCCTAAACCAATCAGTGCGTCGCTGAAGATGCCATCGCTAGGGAGCGTTGGTTTTACTGTCCCGCCCAGCGAGTCGACCTATAAAATAATACAGCTGAGGCGCTAAATCAAGGAAGAAATTATTGTGTTAGAGTTTGATTTTGTCATGTGATGTAATTATATTGTGTTGTTATTAATATTATAATTGTGTATATAAAGGATGGTGTTTATTTACATTTCGTTAAAAACTTAAGAATGCTGAATCAGAAGGTACTATTGATTTGCCTACTGATTTGCCTTTATAAGTTAGGTCTGGCACGTGCCGGGCTATTGTTTACATAGTCACACAAGATTGAAATGATTCTTAAAATCTATTTAAATGATTGTGGTGAGCATGAACTCACTGACACACAGATAAGTATTTCCTGAATCGGAGGACAAAGCGCAAAATGGGCTTACAATAATTACTGCAATAACACTTTTGATTTAAAAAAAATTGTCATAGAATTGAGGGCAGGTTCAGGATGAACACCAAGAGAATTAGTGTATCTCTCAGACATGACATCCTGTCCCATTTTGACTTGATTTATCAAATAATATGTAAACATTTCACTTAATGCACCTTTAAGAATTACACCTCCAAGCTTTGACAGAGTCACAAGCACTCTGGAAGCAACTGTGCTCACATGAAGGCTTTTTGCCTTAGACGTGGACAACAAGGAGGAGAGATGAAATAAAAGCAGTGTTGTGAGATGATGGCTCTCAGTAGGCCTCATTAAATGGTGCTGTAGATTGCACTGTGTGAACTGCAGGCCTTAAAGTTGAGTAGAGTACCCTTTTCAGATAAAGTGAACATGGAGGGAATGCTGATAGGATACCGCCCAGGGACTTGTATTCTTTTTTTAACCTGTTTGCTTTGTGCTACACTGAACTGAAAGGAAAACCAAGAAATATTTTTTACTTTAGAGCTTAAGATTTGTATTCTATTTTCTGATTTTGTACAGCCAAGGATTGGGAAAATAATCAATATTGTGAAAGTAATCACTAGTCACAGGTTTATATAAATCCACCTCAACCAAGTACAACAGTAAAATGTATTAAAATGTATTAATGTATTAAATGTAATACTGTATTAATGCATGAGTAATCATCAAATATGACACTCACATGAGCCCCTTTTCTTCTTGGCATACTTTTAATTTTAATAATAAATACATTAACCTGACAATACCTTTACTTAATTGATCTTTTCAATGCAGGACTTTTAGTGGAGCATTTTTACAGTGTTGTATTAGTATATTAACTTAAGGATTTCGAACACTTCCTCCACCATTGAAATAGTCTGGTTGCTGTTGTGCAGCAAAGTCGAAAGACCATGAAGTACTGTGTTAAATATCACTTATCAGAAGTCTGCATCTGGCATGCTTTACCTTCTCCTCCTTTCATGATAGTCTATTCATCAGGCAAACCCATTTAATTATCCATAAATCCAGCATAGGTTTACACAATCTCTATGCACTGACCACTACCTCTTGTTGTCATTGTGGTAAACCGCTGCAAATAACACTCACACACAACTATACACCTCTGTCTTTCTACTTCGCTCTCTCTCTCACTTGCACACACTCACACAGAGGAAGTGTGTGAAACTTGTGAACTCATTTGTCAAACCATTTCCGTATGAACTCATATACACTGGAGAAACCAAAGAGCAAACCGTTGCCTTGTTACTAACTGGTAAGTAGTTTTATTGAAAGCTTAACTGAGGCGCTGCATTTCCAGTGAGCTGCCTTTGTGCTGTTTACTGGGAGCCCTCGTGTAGAAACTTTGTGTATATGTAAGGTGAGGTGTGTTGCTGTAATTAAATGAGTATCTACATCTTTTAATCAGCCGGTTTTGTTTAGACAGCATTGTGTAGCACAAGAACATATAGAAATCGCCAAGAGGAAACATTCTTTATTAGCTGTAATTTGTTCCACATCTGCGCTTCATTCTCCATCTTGCCCTCCTCTCTGGGCTTTGTCTATTTTGAACTATTGTCCACTGAGTGAACCATGGTAGGGTATTACTGTGACACATCATATACATAAACCTTATATATGATGTGAAATGCACATGAAGAAACTGCAATCATTTGGTAAAGGTAATAATTCTGCTCAACAGAGACTTTCAGACATTTATGTGTGTGTGCAAAGCTCCTCCCGAATTGAAACTGTTACAGATGTCTTATTTATGTATGTATCAGCAATCAACAGTATAATATCTTCCATGTAACATCTGATTTAGTCCATTTATGTTCTGAAAACTTGACGATAAGCTACTTCAAAGCTCTGTCAGGTTGCCGCTATAGAGGCCAGCGCAGTATTTTTGTGCTAATCTAGTTGAACTTCCTGCTTGTCACATCCTGGTTGGGTGACAGCTCATATGGTGACAAGCTGTGGTCGGATGCCTGTGTCTTTTACTTTCCATCTGAGGCCGCAGAGGGGACTTTCTGTTCTTTCTGGCCTTCTGTTTTCTTCCTCTGTTTTCATGAGTCCTGATTACACTTTATGTTTCACCATTTCTTTTACAACGTTCTTTCAAGTTGCAGCTACTTCTCTAATCTGAAACAGGCCAAGATTGTAGAAATATCTGCAGAGCTGAGACTTAGAAGGACCCATTTGGGAGAAGTATTTATGTTCTGCCTGTCTTTAACAGAACATGTTGGGAAGGAATACTCCAATGAAAACACAAAAATTTGACAAAACAAGACAGTGATTCAAACCATCTTTTGTGTTTGTGCCTTGCTTAGGCCTTAACCATATTCTTGTTGGACAAAAAGATGCCCTAAGGAAATCAAATGTTTTTTCACTTTAACCAAGGTTATGGCTTTTATCCTCACAGGATCTGATGCAGGCAGTGAGTGCAGATTCAAGGGGAGCGCCAGAACCCACTCCAGAAAATCTTGGCATTGCAGAAGTCCCCTAAACATTTGGGTTCTTAAGAAGCTGCCAAAATATGACAGAGAACATAATCCAGTCCTTTATAAGCCAAATGGAAATGGTAGAAGCTAAAGTGGCCGGTTCTAATCAAGCCCAGAAGACGTTTGCTGAAGGGTTAGCATCAGCAGTGATTGAGGTCGCTCTGAGGGAGGTGTGCAGAGGCCGTAATGTTGAGGGTTTCCAGAGTTCAAGATTAACTGGGGCAAAGATGGATGATGGACAGGCTGAAAATCAGTCTTTCTTGAATGCATATGGGAAAGAAAGAGACATTTTGAACATGGGCACAGAGACGGATCCAGAACTGCAGCCCTCCAACGACACCCAGCCTGACCATCCGCCTCTGTCCCAGTCAGGGCTCCCCATCGTGGGATCCCTCGACTACCCCGATGCCCCACCAACAACCCCTCTCCTCCCTGAGCTTGAGAGGAGCAGACACAGTTTTGCCCGAAAGCTGAAAGGAGGCTTGGCAAACGTTTTCCTGCCCTCACCTCCCCCACCTACCCCAAAGGAAAATGATGATGAGCCAGACTGTGTTATCAAGGATGCCCAGGTGGAGTTAATGGAGCATCTGATGCAATCTCTATCCACAGATGATGTGGCAAGAAACTATTTTGAAGTCAGTCCTCAGCTTGAAGCCAAGATAGAGGATTTCGCAGAGGTTCTTTCATGTAACATCATAGAGTGGGTCCTGAGCACCAAAGGCAAAGAACAGATAGCAGACGATAGTGATCTTCATCTATTAGCCCAGCAGCTGGCTCAAAGCATCATCACCTCCTCCCTTGATGAAGCTAAATTGCTTGTCTAGCCTTTTGATCATATTTGTAATAATTCATGCACACACACAAGAGAGAGAACAAAGTATTAATATCCACAGATGTTACTTTACCGTACCACTGCCTGACACTTTTATTGAAGTGTGGTTTACTGCAATAATATTGTTCCATAATCTGAAGCTGATTTTTTTAAATGTATTTTCTTTTTGCCAATAAAGCTCAGTATTAATTCATCCAGATGAGGTCAATCCTGAAATATTACCTGTTTATTGCAAAAAATGGTTGATATGTAGTTAAACTGTGGGACTTTTTATGACGTGCATATCCTGAAAGCTGTACATTTTAGATGCTGAATTACAAACCTAATTTAATGGATTTATTCCAAAATAAATATAAAGTGCATAGGCAGTAAAACATTCATGGTTGTGAATGCAATTTTGAGTGAGTTCCAACAGCAATGACCACATATGTCCTTTAGATGGCAGCACAGGAGCAATATTAACCTATTCAGGTACCTGAACAACTGGGGTTTATTCAGTTTTCCATTTATACATAAATATACATGTCAGATTGTGAGAGCTTTGTATGCCTGTGAGTATTCTCAATAACTTTTTAAAAGTAATCCTTCTAAATGCACCTACAATAAAGACTTTATGGATAGTGACTGCACTTTTATTTTCATTATGTATTGAAACAGCACACAGTGAACCATCACCATCAAGATATTACTTTTTAAAAAACTATAGCAAAAGACAAAATTGTATTCTAGATGCCTGATGAATTTGTATCCCAATGCAAATAAATAATGCACCACACCATCGTATTGTATATTCAAGCGTGACATTTGGTAGTTATTCAGTTTGTTCCTGTCGGCCTAATACTCTGCAGATTGATTCAGTGCTCCCTTGGACTGAGTTGAATGTTGATAGGTTGGATGAATTTGTGTTCTGGCTCAAAGAAAACTCACTTTCATTCTCACTTACTCACTGAGGTTAGTGATGTGCTCCTGCAGAGCAAGAAATCATCAACTACTTTATCACAGCAGAGAATTGCAAACTGACTGAAAGAAAAGCTTTTCCAAGCCTTTAAACAGCAGTTTGGAATAAAGGCTTTCATTGTTCCCTATAGTCATCAGTCACTTATCAAAGATGTCTACTCAAGTTAAAAAAAAAAAGGTTAACGATCAAGTGCACAAGCCTTATGTTAGCGCTTTTATATGTGCATAAGCATGCACAGAGCTGCCAATAATCAAAGCTCTCTATCTCTCTCTTCACTTGGTCTTATCTGACTGCAGCTCAGGGCTGTGCCAGGATCATACAGCTCAAACATATGGGCATGTACTTTTTTTTTTTTATGCAGACACAATTCCTAACAATCCAAGGCGAAACCACTGGTCAACACCATTTGTAGCTTTTGTTTCCATTTTCTTTTTGGTTTGGTGTCCTTTTTTTCACCTTGTCACAACGATTTAACGCATCAAATGTTTTAAGGAGACTGTGAACAGAACCACCGCCAAAAAAGAAGCATGTGTGCTTTACCTACATAACAAAACAATAATCTGGAAACACTATTTGAACCAAGTGGGATACATATTGTTCTTCAGTTTTAATGTAGGTGACTACAGGAACAGCTTTTCAAAGGTGCTGATTGTACCTATCGCACTATTTTATGACGGTATTATGGGGTAATGGCTGCGAGTTCATAAATCTGAGTGAGTTGCATAGTGGAGCACTGAGGCTTGACCTTCTTTTTAACACTGTTTAAGCAAGTGCTCTGCTTTATTTTCTACCCTGGTAGTGTAACTGAGAATAAAGGAGAAGGACTAAACGGTGTTATATTTAATATAGAGCATGTGGCTTTGGAGGAGGGCTGGTAATACCTTCAGGACAGCAGTAGATGTAGTTAAACTACCTTTTGGGCTGGGTATTTATTTTTTGACAAATCATCTGCTTTGCAAACTGTGTTACAAACTGTAGCTAGGTGACTCCAAGTCTTTTCTGCATAAACACTATTGTATTACAATTTCTGTTGTTTAAGTACCCAAAGATTATTCTTGGTAAGACTGAAGTAAAGGAGTACAAAGTATAATCAGAACACTGAGAATCCATAGTCTGCCACAGCTAATCCTAAATGTTGCTACTCTTTGCTGTCATGTAATTGTTTCTTTAATTTACATTCTAATATTTTATCTATAAATGCATTTTAATGTTTTATCTGTTTGTGTGCATTATGTTGAGCACTGTGAATTGCCTTTGTGTAACAAAATGTGTTAAAGCTTCTATGGACTTTTATCTTTGGAGAGAACGTACCACTACTGGAATCCAATGTAAGCACTGTGAAACTTACCACAGGCTTTGTTTCACAGTCAAAATGCAGAAATTGGGTGGACTATGTTGTTAACATAACAAAACTCCCCCTGTGGCACTGACATCTCTATTCTGCAGTTCCTCCCAGAGGAGCTTGTCTGAGGTGAACTTGCTGTTGGTGCTTGGAAGCGTTTACCTCAAACTGGAGAAACACAGTGAGTTAATGATAAGCAGATCAGCCACAGCATGACCAAACAGGATCATGTGCTATTTTGCAAATCTCACTGGGATACTTGCACAAGCAAGTAATTGACAAGAGGCGTCAGCACAGGTGCTGACTGTCATCTTCTTGCAAATGCTGTCAGAGATTTGGCTGTTTCGGGGGTCAAATCCATGACCTTGTAATGCTGCGGTATCAACCTTCCACAGCTGTGCCCTCAGGACATCAACCTCAAATGCAAAACAATGTCAGTTTCATCATAACAACCATCTTTGTAGACATGGAATGTTTGACTTTTGTTTCACTTCTATCTCTTAATTTTAAGGCTGTGCATTTAACCATCTGTTTTGGGATATTTCTTACAGCCCGGGCCGTATTCATGTCTCACCTGCAAACCGCTGAATCCCCTTCCTGGTGACATTTGTATTGACAGGTCAGTGGATGGCTTTCACATCTGGGCCAGATCCCAGGTGAATTCCACCAGAACTTGACTTGCAGCCACCTGGATTCAACAACAGCTTTCTTCAAATTCCTGCAGCAAGTGGCCTCCAAGGCAGAAAAATCTCTGCGCACGTGACTCTGAGGCTTTTCACACCTATTGGGAAAACATTACAAAATGAAAGGAGAAAAAAGCAGAAGGTTATTTATAAGTACTTATTTGGTTCAAACTAGTTAAACCGAGTTTTGAAAATGACCTTTTAAGAGGAGACAAGTTTCCCGTGCCTCTTTTGACAGGCCCAACCTTGCCGCCCCTGCCAGCTTATCTGCCTTGCACCTTTGATAAACAGCTCTGACATTGGGCACACATGGCACTTTCCAGCTGTTTGTGGTGATCAAAAGAAAACAAAAGAAAGGCTGAACAGTAACCAGCCTTTATTGTCTGTTTAGGGGGAAAGTATGAGCTGCACCATGATTCTGTGTCCAAAGACAAGTTGACAATGCTGACACTCAAATTTGTTGCTATTGTTGCAGACAGTAATAAACTCTGCACTCGTTCCTCCATGAGCTAACATCTCCTAGTCAGCAGTCTGAGTGAAGTCTTGTTATGTTTTTGGAGACTGAAGTTAACATATTTAATCTTGACTACACTTGTTTTACAGTGATAAACTAGAAGGCATTGGGCAAATATTTGCTCCAAAAATAGACCACAGGGAATGCACAAGCACCGAAGGCAGCAATGTGGAGAGCACTGTTTGCATTTATTTTTTATTGATAATAAACCATGTTTTTTTTTACACTACTAACAGTTTTAGTGATTTATCTACTGATACTTGGTATAAAATGTTAGAAAAGGTGTTCAACCTAGAGTCCATAACCTACAGGTAATTAGTTTAAATTTGAGAAATTAAAACCAGTTTAATTTGGACTTTTTTTAATAGAGAATTTATTTGCGCAATTAATGAATAATTAACTTTTTGCTGATTAATTTTTGTGGATAGACTAACTGATTAATCCCCATTCTTAACTGCAACAACCATCCAATATAGCTTCACCAAACAGTTTCAAAATAAAAGCATCGTGACACATTAACTCCAAAGTGACAGGGCCCACATATTCAAAAATAGTCTAGATAAAATATATATTCTAAAATGGGAAACCCCTATAAAAAAAAAAGACATGGCCTGCAAATGTAGCAGTTTCTGTCTTTCTCTAGGGCCAAATACAAAAACTACTCTGAGTTAAATGGTGTAATTGAAAATAATATTATGCCTTTTTTTGTATGTTTTGCTTTGGCATTGGTGTCCTATGCCTCAAAAGCACCGCTGAAACTGAAAGAAATGTGAGAGAGCGCGAAAGCATTCCTCTACAGCTCCAGGGTGATAAAGAGGTTAACCCAGCCCCTCTGTGCTGCTCTGCAATCCGTGCAGCCCATCAGTCCACTGCTGTCTCCTCCTGCAGCTCCAGTCCCACTTTACGCAACAGCTGAGTGCTGAACGGACATGGACACATCCAAACTTTAACGTTCAGGTCATCGTTCTCCTCTCCTGCTTGCTTTCCTCCCATATCTTCACCCGCAGAGCCCCTAATGAAAACCTGCGGACGCATGGAGATCTAGTTTTGATCCAACTTTTGGTCAGTTGGTCAAGTCTTTGGAGGCTGTTGTTGGTTGTTGTTTTGCCGTTTCCGTTGTTTTTATGGTC